ATAATTCTGATGGGACCTTCTTCAAATCCTAGGAATTTTCCAAGAGATCAAAAAGAACGCAAATTCCCTACTTATATCTTTTTAGAGGAACAAAGAAACGGTGAAAAAGTTAAAAGAGATTGGCTCGTTTGGAGTAAGGCTGTGGCATCACTCTTTTGTTTCCCTTGCTACCTTTTTGGATCGCCTAACTTAACCAGACCCGGTGTTCAATCTACTTTGTTGTCTTGGAATTTAGGTATACATGGAAATTGGAGAAAACTTTCAGATCGCGTTAAAAGTCATCAACAAAGCGATTTTCACCGTAACTGTTATCTCCAATGGAAAACAGCTACGATTCACTTGAAAAGTCAAAAGTCCATTGAGCATCAGTTAGAAAAACAAATTGGAGATGAAACAAAGCAATGGAAAGTAATTTTACAATGCATTCTTGACGTCACAATTTTTCTAGCTTCAAGAAACTTAGCTTTTAGGGGTAAGAATATTGTTTTTAAATATTAAATTATATTTTGCATTATTTTATTTGTAATTTAAAAATCAAAATTACAAGTTTTAATTGGATATAAATATAGATTACTATTTTGATTATTTTTTGTTTGTAATTAGGATTCATGGGAATGGAAACTTCCTTGGAGCGCTCGAATTAATTGCTCGCCACAACAAAACGTTACAAGATCATATGCACCTTATTGCTAAGCACCAAGAAGAAGAAAAACGCATGTAACCTCATTATTTATCTTGGAAATCACAAAATGAATTTATCAAGGAATGCGGCAAATTAGTGGTTCGAGAAGTTATTCGAGAAATCAAAAAATCACCATCATCACGGACAGCACTCCCGATTCGTCCCACAGCGAGAAAATAACTTTTGTTTTTCACTTTTTGCATTTCAATGATAATCAGCTGTGGGAGGTCAAAGAAAGATTCCTTAAGCTAGAAGAACTTGAAAAGAAGAAGGGATCTGATATAACAAAGTTGATATTGAATGTGTTGAAAGAGAATGAGCTCGACATAAAAAATTGTCGTGGTCAAGGCTACGACAACGGCGCTAATATGGCAGGTATTTACAATGGAGTTCAAGCTTTGATAAGACAGAATAATCCACAAGCAATTTTCATTCCTTGCTCTGCTCACAGTTTGAACTTATGTGCAGTACACGCTATTGAATCATCGGCTCCTGCAAAATCCTATTTTGGAAATATTCAAAAGCTATACAATCTGTTCAGCAGCAGCCCAGTTCGTTGGAAAATTCTTCAGGAGGAGACAGGCCAATCATTACATAAACTTTCTGTTACACGATGGAGTTCAAGGATTGAATCAGTTAAGCCACTAGCAAAAAAGCCAAGAGAGATCTTGAAATCATTACATCGTCTAAAAGAGTTAGACTTTCCAGGCGAAAGTAGTAATGAAGTGCATTATCTCATTAAATGGATGAATTCTTTTGAATTTGTTGTTTTCACTACTTTTTGGTTTAAATGTTTGATGGCAGTTAACAACGTGAGTCTTCTGCTTCAATCCACTCAACTCACTCTCGATGATGAAGTAAAGATTCTAAATGACCTTTTGATGGATCTGGATTGAATCCGCCTGTCTTGGGACCTGATTTAGATAGAGGCAACAGAAGTTGCAAAGAACTTGAAATTTGATAAAATAATGTTTACTGTGAAGAGAACGCGAAAAAAGATCATCTCAGATGAAACTGCTGGTTACAACCACGAAGAAGCATCAAAAAACTTTGAGTGTAATGTCTTCAATGTTGCACTCGACAATCTGACTAGTAAAATGAGATCAAAATTTAAAGTAATAGAAGAGGAATGTAGCAAGTTTTCCTTCCTTTGGTCTTTACAGAAATCTCAAACAGACCAAGAACTAGGTTTAAAAGCTGAGAATCTGGCTAAACTTTACCCAGAAGACTTATGTAAAAACGAATTTTCTGATGAAGTTCGGCATTTTTTTTCCGTAAGAAGAAATATTCTAGCCAGCGAAAAGCCTGTCGAACTTCTAAATGAAGTTTATGCAAAGGAGCTGCTTTCAATATTTCCGCAAGTGTGTGTTTCTCTTAGAGTCTTTCTAACATTGACCGTTTCAACATCTGAAGGAGAAAGATCTTTCAGCAAGTTAGCTATCATCAAAGATTATCTTCGTTCCACAATGGGAAAGGAGCGATTGTGCTACTTGATGATTCTTTCAATCGAATCAGATTTAGCCATTAACGTTAATTATGAAGAAGTTATTTCAAATTTTGCTGCTAAGAAGGCCCGGAAGATGTGTTTGTCAATTAAGAATTGATTTTATCATAGCTTGTTCTTGCAAACCAAAATTAAATGTGATTTTAGGTTTTTTATGAAAGTAAACTATATTAATTTATTTGCTATTTTAAGACCTGAAGTATGATAGGGCAGCCATTAAACTTTTGGACCCGGGCATCACAAAAGCTCTGGGCGGGCCTGCGGTACACATATATATATATATATATATATATATATATATATATATATATATATATATATATATATATATATATATATATATATATATATATATATATATATATATGTATATATATACATATATATATAAATATATGTATATATATATGTATATATATATATATATATATATATATATGTATATATATATATATATATATATATATACATACATATATATATATACATATATATATATATATATATGTATATATATATATATATATATATATATATATATATATATATATATATATATGTATATATATATATATATATATATATATATATATACATACATATATATATATATACATATATATATATATATATATATATATATATATATATATATATACATATATATATACATATATATATATACATATATATGTATATATATATATACATATATATATATATATACATATATATATATTTATATATATATTTATATATGTATGTATGTATGTATATATGTATGTATGTATGTATGTATGTATGTATGTATGTATGTATGTATGTATGTATGTATGTATGTATGTATGTATGTATGTATGTATGTATGTATACAGCTGACAAAAGCAAAGTATGTACATGCACAAAGTCTCTTAACGCTTGATCATTGGAACAAAAATCATGTTTGTGTTGATTGTGGTTTGTTGTTTTAATAATCACGGAAGATTTTATTTAAGTTATATAATTTTGCAAAAGCAATGTTTGGTCGCATACATTGGATCAACATTGATTTATATACATTAAATCAATGTCGAGATATATGCATTGGATCAACGTTGGATTTAGGTCGTAAAAACAATCAAATTTTTTTGATGTTTTTACATACATTGGAAAAACGTTGATTTATATACATTTAATCAACGTCGAAATATACACATTGGATCAACATTGGGTTTAGATCGTAAAAACAATCAACTTTTTGCGATGTTTTTACATACATTGTACCAATGTTAATGTGCCAGATGTTTTAGTTCCGTCGGTAATAATTTTATCATTAACCAAATGACATTGGATCAACGTTGGTATTGCATCGGAAAAAAGAGCCGACGTTCGCGATGGTTTTACATACGTTGGCCCAATGTAAGTGTGCTAGCTGGGCAGTTATCTGTTTTGAGCACATCTTTTATATTCTCTTCATAAAATCTTTTTATTTTTTCTCCCTGCCTCCACTCTCTTGTTTTCCGTCCTTCCTTTAATAACATCTTTTAACAATGTTTATAAGTTTTGTTTCAGATACACAATGGATTTGTCTGAAAATGTAGACTGGAGGGCTACCTGCAAACACAAACAAGGTTGAACATAAAAGTGTTATGAACTTACAGCAGAAGATGTGCAGCAGTATTAAGACACCGTACTGATTAAGCATGTGCACATTGCAAAAGCAAGTCGAATACGTAATGCTTTTACAAGAAAATTCAGTCGTCCAATTTTTGCAGTTATTTCATTGAAAAAAAAGGTCAACTAGCAAGAAGAGAAAAATATGTCGTGCAACTTTTTTACAATTGCACCTATCAAAAAGACCTGGTGGAAATACTTAAACGTTCAAATGGTAGTGGTGACCTGCCAAAGGAGGCTCGAGGTGACGACAGAATATCTCACAAATCTGTTTTAAAAGAGGGTAGTGTAAAAATATTTATTATCGGTTTGAGAGGCAGATAAAGTCATTACGGTAAAGGCCAAAGTGCACGCATATATATTTGCTGTCTGAATTAAAAAATTGTAAAAACTTGTTAAAGATGTATAACAACTGTACTAAAGAACACTAAGTAATTTAACAAAATTTTACGAAAGTATGTTTTACGAAATTATTTTTTCTGAGTTTAACATTGCTTTTATTGGTCCACAAGTAGATGCATGTACCATTGCAAAAAATTGAAAAGTTTGTAGTTGAACTTAAACTGCACAGGAAATTTTACTTGCAGAAGCGTGCTGCATTTTATCGTATAGCTAAAGAACTCTTTTTATCGTATAGCTAAAGAACTCTAAAGAAGTTACATACAAGATTGTATACGATCTGCAGCAGGTACAAGTTCTGCCCAAGGTGCCTATTAAGGAGGCCTTCTACGCCAAAAAGCTACCTATATAAAACTTTGCAATCTGTAACGTGTTTTCAAGAAAAATTACTGTTATACATTGATTGAGAGAATAAAGCACGTGGTTTAAATAAGATAGCAAGTGCGCTGTACCATTTTATTAATAAGGTCTTTGTTAATTTCGGCAGTTCTAGGCACGTGTCGAAGTTTATATATATATATATATATATATATATATATATATATATATATATATATATATATATATATATATATATATATATATATATATATATTCTTAGTATCTTAGTTTGATAAATAGAATTTTTTATACGGAAAAGACCGTTTATTATAAGCCAAGCCAGAAACTTGCGGACTAAAAATAAATATAAAATGCAAAAAAAAAAAAGATGGAGAGAACTTCATTTATTTAAATAAATAAGCAACATTAAAAACACAAGTGTTAACAAAGAAATTATTTCTTTCGGAAACATTTCTATTTGAAAATAAACTCTTAATAAAAAATACAAATCTGTAATACAAATGTAAGTATAAAAAATCTTCCAAAATATTAGCACAATATACGAAATTAGATTTTTCTATACCTATACACACCCACAAGTACAGTCACATACACGAACGCACGCACGCGCACGCAAACAACATTTACAACATAGTATAGTAAAACATTGCATTCAATTCACTATTTATTGTTTAATTTAATGAAATAATGAATAGCCTCAGTTAGCCAAACTTTTTATTCATCTAAAAGTATTACTAAAATTTATCCACTATAATCTTATTTATAAACATACATACTTATTGCGATTTTTTGGAATAACAACGAATAAAACTATATAAATGCAAAATTATTATATAGAAGCATATTATGATATAATAAAAAACAAACTATTACTATAAATTACAACAAATACAAATGAAAAGTAATTAAAATATAGAACACATTAAATCATAAAAAAAATTATTAAAATCACAATATAATAAAAAAGTACAAACATATAAATGGCAACTCATAGCAACATTACAATATAAACAAAAAGTAAAATAAAATTGTTAACATAAACTAAATATAAACAATACAAGTAAATGTAATGTAATACAAGTAATGTAAGAACGATAACAACGTTATTATAAGTCTAATAGAGTAAACATTACTTGTAGTTAAAACAAAATCTAACAACTATAACAACAAAAGCTGAAAAATTATCCACGTGTCAACGTTCTCGACAATTTGAATTGTTGACAATGTTGATAATACTACACCTAGAAGAGATAATATCTACAATCATTTCACAACATCACATTACAATAATTAAATTTCCCATTCCATCTTACAAAACCTGCAACTGTTTTGTTATTTTATACGTCATAATATAATTTATACGTTAACAGCTACTAAAATATTACATCAAACGATATCTTCCAAACTATAATGATAAAAGGAAAAAAAAAACAGTTACTAAATAATTGACAAAGATTCAACAGCAGTTCAAACAAAAGACCAATACGTAATTATAACAGTATGTTAATTGACAACAAGTATAACATTAAGTAAAAAAAACAACATAAAACTACAATAAGACAGCATCACAAGAGCAATCAACAATAGTAAAAAAAACAACATAAAAATAACTACATTACAACTAAATAAATATTAAGAAACTTATATCAATATCAGTGATTTAAATAAATTGCATTAAAAACATAAAAATAAAAAACAGTTAAAAATATTAAACAACTATAACAGGTAAAATATCATGACTACACACACAACAACACCATGACTACACATACAACATCATGACTACACATACAACAACATCCTGACTACACATACAATAACATCATGACTAAATATAAAACAATATTATGACTACACATACAACAACATCCTGACTACACATACAATAAAATCATGACTATATATAAAACAATATTATGACTACACATACAACAACATCATGACTACACATACAACAACATCCTGACTACACATACAACAACATCATGACTACACATACAACATCATTATGACTACACATACAACAACATCATGACTACACATACAACAATATTATGACTACACATACAACAACATCATGACTACACATACAACAATATTATGACTACACATACAACAACATCATGACTACACATACAACAATATTATGACTACACATACAACAACATCATGACTACAAACACAACATCATGACTACACATACAACATCATCATGACTACACATACAACAATATCATGACTACACATACAACCTTATCATGACTACACATATAAAAATATTATGACTTCACGTACAACAATATCATGACACATACAACATCATAACTATACATACAACATCATGACTACACATTCAACAACATCATAACTACACATACAACATCATCATGACTACATATACAACAATATCATGACAACACATACAACATCATGACTACATATACAACAATATCATGACTACACATACAACAACATCATGACTACACATTTAACAATATCATGACATATACAACAATATTAAGACTACACATACAACATCATCATGACTACACATACAACAACATCATCACTATACATAAAACAACATCATGGCTACACATACAACTTTATCATGACTGCACATACAACAATATCATGACTACACATACAACATTATCATGACTTCACATACAACAATATCATAACACATACAACATCATAACTACACATACAACATCATCATGACTACACATACAACATCATGACTACACATACAACAACATCATGACTACACATACAACAACATCATGACTACATGTACAACAACATCATGATTACACATTCAACAATATCATGACATATACAACAATATTATGACTACACATACAACATCATCATGACTACACATACAACAATATTATGACTTCGCATACAACAATATCATGACTACACATACAACAACATCATAACTACACAAACAGCATCATGACTACACATACAACAACATCATGACTACACATACAACAACATCATGACTACACATACAACAACATCATGATTAAAAATTCAACAATATCATGACATATACAACAATATAATGACTACACATACAACATCATATGACTACACATACAACAACATCATAACTTCACATACAAGAATATCATGACTACACATACAACAACATCATGATTACACATACAACATCATCATGACTACACATACAACTTTATCATGACTATACATACAACAAAATGATGATAACACATATAACATCATGACTACACATACAACAATATTATGACTACACATACAACAACATCAATACTAGACATTCAACAACATCATGACTATGTATACAACAATATCATGACTAAACATCCAACATTATCATAACTACACATATAACAATATTATGATTATACGTACAACAATATCATGATTACATATACAACATCATAACTACACATACAACATCATGACTACACATACAACAACATCATAACTACACATACAACAACATCATGACTGCATATACAAAAACATCATGACTATGTATACAACAATATCATGACTACATATACAGCAACATCATGACTGCACATACAACAGTATCATGACAAAACATTCAACAATGATGGCTACACTTACAACAATACCATTACTATACCTACAACAACATCATGACTACAATATCATGACTCTACATACAACAACATTTTAAAATTAACAAGTTAACAAAAAACTAGCAACAACATTTGCAACACAGTCTCGATAAACAACAGATGCAAAAACCACCTTATAAACAGTTACAACAGCATATCTGTTACTACAAGCTAATCAAAAACAGTAAGAACAATATAATAAACAAGAACAGCTTAAAAAACCATCAATATCAATGTGTTGATAAACAAAAGCTACAACAGCATCTTAATAAATAACAATTATAACAACACTTTAACTAACAATAATTACAAAAATATTTCGTTGATTAACAATTGCAAAAACATCTCATTGAACAACAGTTACATTAACAACTTTATGGACAACAGTTATGACAACATCTTAATATACAACAGTTACAACAAAATCTTGATGAAAAGCTGTTACAAAAACACCACATTTAACAGGAGATCAAATAACACATTAATAAACAAAATTACAATGTCTGAATGAAAAACAGTGACAACAACACCTTAATAAGCAACAAACACAAGTTTTTAATGAACAACAGATACAAAAACATACTTTTATGAACTAAAGTTACAACAACATATCAATGAGCAACAGCTACAAAAATATCTAATGAACAACAGTTATAACAACATTATTATGATCAACAATTTTTAGCAACATATCAATAAACAATATATACAGCAACATCTCAATTAAAACATTTACAACAAAAATCTAATAAACAAAAATTAGAACAGCTTCATTAAAAAAAAACAGTTATAAAATTATCTCAATAAACAACAGTTACAATAATATCTTGATGAACAACAATTCCAAAACTTCAACAAACAGTAGTTACAAAAACATAATAAACAAAACTTACAACATAAGTATCAATAAACAACAGTTACGATAACATTCCAATAAACAACAATTACATCAACACTTTAACAAACAGCAACATCAATATCTTTAACAATATGTACAACAACATTTTAATTAAAATAGTTACAATAATTAAATGAACAACTTTTAGAACAACTTAATAATAAACAATAGTTACAACAATATCTCAAGGAACAACAGTAAAAACAATATTTCAAGGAACAACAGCTACATCAATATCTTAAGGAACAACAGTTACAACAATACTTCAAGGAACAATAGTTACAACAATACTTCAAGGAACAACAGTTACAACAATACTTCAAGGAACAACAGTTACAATAATATTTCAAGGAACAACAGCTACATCAATATCTCAAGTAACAACAATAACAACAACTACAACTCAATAAACAACAATTGTAACAACATTTTACCAAACAATATTTACATCTCATTAAAAGATAACTACAACAACAATTTAAGTAATATCATTGAGAACAGCTTAACAATAAAGAACAACTAAATCTCAATAAGTAACATTTAAAACTGCATTTTAATAAACAATATTTTCAGCAACATCTCAAAAAAGTATATTTACAACAACGCCACAATCAACAACAGTTACAACAATTTATTAATAAACAGTAGATAGTAATCACCAAAAATAAAAACACTAAAAACACAAAATCTAAATAAAAGACATTTACTTCAATATCTCAATACACAACATTACAACGTCAACACAATGTAACAAAAAGTTACATAACATTAAAAATAAAAACAAACCAGTACAGATACTAACAAATACGAACATAAAAAATTATAAGGATGCAACATTAAAACAAACATTGTCACATTGTTGTACAACATTAAAACTGACAATGCAAAATTAAAACTCACAAGAAATCAACACTATAAACCATGACAATGATTAACATATTAAGACTAACAACAATTCATCATCAAAAATAACAACAATACAACATTAAGTCCAACAATACAATATTAAAACTAACAATGCAGCTTTAAAAACTAATAAAAATTTATCATCAAAAACCACAACAACGGCAACATTAAGACTAACAACAATGCAAAAACCACAACACAAGATTAAAACTAACAATGCATTATTAAAACTAACAATGTAACATTAAAAATAACAGTACAATATTAAAAATAACAGCACAACAATAAAACTTACAACAACTCAGCAGCATAAACTACAACAATGTAACATTAAGAGTAATAATATGCAAAATTAAACAGCAACAATTCAGTATTAAAATTAACAATGCAGCATTAAAGTTAACAACAATTCAACATCAAAAACCACAACAATGTAACATTAAGACTAACAACAATGCAAAAATAGCAACAATTCAACATTAAAACTAATAATGCAACATTAAAATTAACAACAATTCAACATCAAAAAGCACAACATTATAACATTAAACTTAACAATAACAGAATATCAAAACAAACAATGCAGCATTAAAACTAATGAGAACTCAACATCATAAAGCACAACAATGCAACATTAAAACAAATAACAATGCAAAATTAAATAAAAAACAGTCCAACATTAAAACAAACATTGCAACATTAAAACTAACAACAATTTAACATTAAAAACCACAACAATTTAACATTAAGAGTAACAACAATTTAACATTAAAAACCATAACAATGTAACATGATGAGTAACAATGTAATGAAAAAAAAACAATGTAACGTGAAGAGTAACAATGTAACATGAAGAGTACATTAAAAACAACAACAATGCAACATTAAAACATAAGAATTAAAAACAACAGCAATGCAAAATTAACAATCAAAAACAAACACAATTATAGAATACTTTTAACACATTATCAAAAAATAAAGAATTCATCACGAATCACATTATGAAAAAAGAAACAAAGGCAAGCACATAAGACCATTTAAATTGAACAATATTGAACAAAAAGGACAAAACACTTTTCAAATATTTGAAGAAACAAACACAACAAAACACCAATAACGATGCAGAGTACAAACAAAAAAAACAAAAACATCAATAATGATGCAGGATGCAAACACACATCACAAAACCATCAATAACGATGTGAGATACACATAAACATACAAAAACCAAAAAAGATGCATGATACATGATAACCACACAAGATTGATCGTGACCATGAGTATTAAAATACTATTAGTTTGTTATTTTTAAATTAAAAAATTAATTTTATTAATTGTTAACTACTAATCATAAAATTAATATTAATGTTGATAAATATTACCTATAAATAGTTTGTTTTTTAAGAGTATTAATATCAGAAAACTAATACTATAATGGAGAATATAAATACTATAATAGAGAATATAAATACTATAATGGAGAAGGTTAATGGTATAATGCAGAGAGTTAATTGATGAAAAAAAGAAAAAAAGAACTAAACAATGACAAACTTTAGGTGAAATGATAAATTTTATGACATTTCAGTAAACCTTTTTAATGACCATATTATAAAAACATTTTATACAAATTCTAAAAAGTTACCAAATAACCAAAAAAAACCTGAAAACCTATAAATAATTTAGCATTTACATTTACAAAAAAAACCACAACCTTCCAAAAAAAAGCAATTCAGCATATAATTCTTGTTAAATGACAATAACTAATTCCCATGTTGTTATAATAAACATGTACAAAGAAAAGTTTGACTAACAAAGGCCATAACTTTTCATAAATTATTTTCTAACGGAAATTTTAAATGCAATGTTAAACAAGTTACTACAATAACCTGACAAAACTGCACAAAAACAACAACGAAAAACACATAATTCTCATTATAATTAATGATATTGCATATTTGGCTTATAAATATTATTTATACCATACATTTTATAAATAATTTAGTAAAAATAAGAAACTACTATACTAATTTAAAAATAAAGCTTAGATTTATAAAAGAAATCAAGGGTATAAAGCTTTCCAAGCAGTGAAACCACCTTTTAGACTTTTTGCACTGAAAAAAAAAATTTGAAAAATTAAAATATGCTTATAAAGCTAAAAACATATAATAAATATAAATATAATTATGAATAAAAATTGTTAAAAATAAAGTAATGATAAAAAGTCTTTTTTTGCTTACTTAATTATAAATTGATAGTTACAGACAAAACAGTTTGTAACTAAAAAAACATTTGAAAAAAATAAAAATCTTTTCACAATTTGTTAAAAACATCAAATTAAGTCAAAGATACATTATTAAGGACCTGACCTTACAGACCTGTCTAGCTTTTTGAAGAGTAATTAATCTCCTGCCCCGACTTAAAAAATGAAAAACTATAAAATCTATTTATTTAGCAAGCATTATATCAGTTAATAAGGAGTTAATTAACAAACTTTAAAGATAACCTATCTGTCAGTATCATAAAAAAAGCCAACACTTTTTAATGACACAAAAAAAATTATAACAAAAGGTTTTAAACAAATATACTCTAAAAACTAAAAATTATATTCTTAGATAGTATGTCAAGAAATACATTCTCAGACAGATGGAACTAATTATGATGCAACATATTGTTTATGTTTTTTTATTGTTTTTGATAAAACATATTATTCTTATGTTGCAACATATTTTATTTGTTGCAACATATTTTGTTTGTTGCAACATATTATTATATTGCAACATACTATTCTAATGAAGTTTTAGTAATCAGACAACTTTCCTTCTACAAATTAATCAAGAACATATATTGTAAAAAATATATAAAAATATATATAAAATAATTCCCCAACAATTAATAAAAAAAATAGATTGAAAAAAAAAATTCTAGTCTCTATTTCTGTTAATTTCTAATTTTTTATCATTTTAAACTTTTATAACAATTCATAAAAATTGAGATTTTTTATAACAATTCACTAAATTGACAGACAAACATTTTCAATTACTAGAAAGTAATTGAACAAATACAATTATGTAACAATTATGACATAATTATGATAACATAAGTATAATTATGTAATAATTAAGACTAATGTTTAAATATTTATTTGATGCTAAAGTATCAAATAAATATCCAAACAGAAGATTAATGATATAAAGTATTATTTGTACTAACTAACCATTTGTATCCATTTTGTTTTGCTATACTAAGAGCGTGTGCACTGCGTACACCAGATTTGCAGTGGAATACAATACGACAGTCATTTTGGAGCGGTTTTTCATAATGATATGCAAAACGAAATTCTTCAGGGGATAGTTTTAATGCTTTATCAATCTGACTAACTAGAAAAAATAAAATATAAAATTTTTGGTATTTATTTTTTTAGATGAGTATTATAGTTTTTAGAAAAAAATCTGATACCTGGTATATTTACAGAGTGCGCAATTCTACCTTCTAATTTAATCTCCCAAGGTTCGCGGACATCAATCAATGGAATTTCACTACTCTGAAGTTTTATCAGTAACTCTTCTGGAGTAATTAAGTCTACATAATCTACTACAGGTGTTGTTGTTATTGTTGTTGTTGTTGTAGTTGTTGTGGTGGTGGTTGTTGGGGTGGTTGTTTTTGTAGTTGGGGTGGTTGTTGTTGTAGATGGGGTGGTTGTTGTTGTAATTGGGGTGGTTTTTGTTGTAGTTGAGGTGGTTGTTGTTGTAGTTGGAGTGGTTGTTGTGGTAGTCAATGTAGTAGCTATTGTTGTTGTTGATGTAGCAGCTGTTGTTGTAGTTGATGGTATTGCAGTTGATGTAGTAGTAATAGGTAACTGTGTAGTTCTTATAATAGGTACAGAAGTTGTAGAAAGAACTGCATTATCTGAAACTATAGTTCCAAATGTAATGAATACATATATATATAAAAACAAATATATTATATATATATATATATATATATATATATATATATATATATATATATATATATATATATACATATATATATATATATACATATATATACATATATATATACATATATATATATATATATATATATATATATATATATATATATATATATATATATATATATATATATATATATATATATATATATATATATATATATATATATATATATATATATGTATATATATATATATGTGTATATATATACTTATATTTATACATATGTAATAATACGTAATATATAACAGTTATGTGTTATAAAAGTTATGTGTTAACAAGGGTTTTCATACTAGTCAATTACCCTAGTCAAATTGATTGACAAACTTAGATGACTATTGTATACAAAATTGCTATATTTAATAAAACTAAATCCAGGTGGCCAGAAAACTTGAAAGAATTTTAGAAAAAGGTTGTTAAAAGAAACTAAATGTTAATGATTTTTTATAAAAAGGTAAAGCTTTTTCAATTTTTATTTCAACTTTATTTGTAAATGCATTTGTAACTGCATTGCAGAATTTTCTGAAACATTCTGTGACCCAAATGTATGCAATAGTCTGTTGTAGAAAACAAAAGAACATTTGGTAAAAGTAAACATCCAATAAACAAATGTCAGTGAAAAACTATAGAGGCAAAATGAAAAAGACGAGAACATTGGATACTATTGGTTATTATTTGAGAGTTTATATTAGAGTTAATATAAGTATTTTTGAGTTTATTATTTTAGATTAAAGTTTATATTTGTCCGAGAACTTATTATATTGGAGTTTATATTTATTAAATTTCTTTCTATTTATTAAATTATATTTTTAGTAATTTTAGCCTCACTCATATTAAAAGTCATGTATCTGTATTGGAGTATTCATTATTATTGAAAATTTATTGTAATATTCTCCTCATTGTTGTAACTTTTTCGCATAAAATCTAAATCTACATTATTTTAAAATCATTATTTTAATATATATATATATCTATTATAATATATATATATATATATATATATATATATATATATATATATATATATATATATATATATATATATATATATATATATATATAGTGCTCAAAGTTGGGCTGGATGGGGCGGGATTTTAGTGATGATGAGGGAGGGTCTAATGTAAACCAATTTGGCTGAATTTAAAAAAAAAGGTCTGCGCTACATATATTTTAAAATCATATGTATATTTGTTTTTGTTTTATTACAGAGTGTTTATTATTCAAATTATTCATAAATTCGCAAAATTTATGACTTTTGTTGTGATATTAAGAAAGCATTCGGAGTATACAAATACATTTTTTCTAATAAAATAAAAAAAATTTTTGGTTAAAAATATTGTATATTGCTTACTACTTTAATTAATTACGTATTTAAAGGTAAGTTTCCTTGACATTCATCCATCCCCCTCCGCCTGCCATTTCCCAAAATTTTATAGGAACTTTTTTTTAAATAAAACACAATTAATATGAAGCCTCTACATTGATTTAAAATTTGAAAGTTACATTTTGATCTTGAATTTTAAAATTCAAAATAAAAATTTAAGTAACTTAGTCACTTAAATTGTTCAGTTAAATTCACTGTTAAACAATAAACTAAACTTAAATAAACTAAAATTCACTTAAATTTAGTTAAATAAACTTCAGTCACTCCAGCAACAGTCAAATGTTCAGTTACTAACTGAACAAGTATTGATATGAGTTATCAGAAACACAAAATTTTTGCAATAACAGTTTGAGATCTTCTAAAAAGATTTTTCATATTATCGATAAAGCTACGCATATCATTTCAGGTATGTGTAGCATAGAAATAAAAATAATGTAAAGTTATCGATTTGGTTTTATCATATTTTGTATTTACCTGAAAAGAAGTCATGGTCACTAAAACATATTTTAATCTCAATATCGACACCAATCCATCACACTACTATACTCTGTAAGATAAATAATGTGCGCTTATTTACACTATTTATATAGTATTGGTAATGCTATTTTAATAAAAACCTATATGGTTTAGGAATGTAACTTCCAACAGATATGGATATCTTGCAACACTTTAAATATTGACAATCAAACTTGTCAAATGGAATTACAAAAAAGTTGGATATTCTATATTGTCTTCCAAAGTTAAACTTAAAGTTTTATAGGTGTCAACTAGTTGAATGTGAATGTATCATGGCGAAAATAAAACATCAATGGATTAAAGCAGGGTTTCCAGTTATTAGCAATGTAAATATTTAAAAAAGTTTAAAAAATCTTGAGCAAAAGTATTGTAATTTATTAAAGAATGTAAAAAAAAAATCAAAACAAGATATTAAAAATCAAATAATATTTGAAAATTTTGTTAAATGTATTTTCAGGAAAGGAATTCCAGAACTAAAAAATTTTATTCAAAGTGACAAGCTAATATCCAATTAATCTAAAATTGAAGATTTACAATTTTTCCAAGATCAAGAAAGTCCAAGATTATATCATTTGGATCTTCTAGACACTAAATATACTAAAAAAGTAATTTGATTATGTTTTGGTTTGAAAATTGGCAAAGTATAAGTTTAATTTTTTTAAATGTTTAGACAGTTTTGCATCAGATTTAAATTAAATGATGCTTTCAAGGTAGATGAACTATTGAGTAACTTAACTATTGAGTAGCTTTGAAACTATTGAGTAACTTAACTATATGGAGTAAAGCATTAGTATATAAAATATTGATTTAACTAACTTTATTTTATTTTTTAACTTACACTATGTTGATTCTCATCCACATATTTAGTTTTTAAATAGTATAGTCTTTATAGTTTGATAAACTTATTAAATATGCTCTAACTTTGTGTTTTTGTTTCTAACAACTTATAACTAATAAATTTATTTTTATATAAGGTAAAATCATTAAATATAAAGAAGCGCAAAAATACAATGAAAAATTGATCACCGAGTAAAATCTTAAAATTTAACAAAGAAGACGTTGGCAGTAATGATGAACTAAGTTCAGAAAACTTTTCTGTTTTTAACTTCAAGCCAGGTGAATGGATAAAAAGAAAAAAAAAACCAAGCAGTACAAAAATTCGGGAAATGTTGCTTTAATAGCAACATTTAATAACATCTCTCCTATGGTTCTGCAGAGAATTACAACAGCGATTGTTCAAGCTGCAGGAGTAGACATTAATGCTATCAAATCAAGTCTCTCAACTGCAGCTAGAAGAATGAAAAGAGAAAATAAAGAAAGTTCAAATATTGCTAAAGAATATTAAAACAAAAGTATGTTTATCTACATTCCCATGAATAATTCATTTTGATGGAAAAACTATGTTTGAGACAATTAAGGAAATAAACTAAAATGCAAGCAACTAACAAGTTTTTCTAATTTATTTTTGCAGTAAATGGGTTTACAGAAGAGAGAATACGTGATTGGTTGTCACTTCTACCATCCTTTTGGCACACTCAATGATATTACAACCAGTTTTTAGCCAGTTCAAAAACTTTGATTAAAGTAAATGATTATGCAGAAAGAAATGTAGGCATGATGCAGGAGCTTATTCATAGATACATTAGTGAAAAAGAAAAACAAATGAGACTGGTAACCATAGACAAAGTTTGTTATGGCATGAAAAAACCTGAAAAAATTTCCAGCAAGATGACAAAAAGAAATATGGAATTAGGTTTAAATAACATAAATAATTTCAAGAAATTCAAAAATGATTAGAAAACTTTTTTTTTCTTTTGTAGGCTTTTTGTAAGTTAAGTAGGAAACCTTATTTTTATCATATTTGGCGTGAGTAACTTAAAAATTAATTTTGGCATAAAAACTTGAATCAATTTTTAATTAGTAAAAAAATGAGGAGGGACCCAGAGGTAGTTAAGGGTGAGGGGAGAGGTTAGGCAAATACATTACTTATTGAACTAACAAATAATTTACAATATTATCAACCAAAAAACATTTTTATTACACATGGTCGTTGACACCAGAAGAGGGGAAGAGTTTTTCCTCCTTTTTTTTATATACAAAAATGAAAAATAGCTCCCCCCCCCTTCACTTTAAAGACCAGTTCAATGGTCCTACTATATTAGAAAAAATATATTTGTATACTCAAAATGCTTTCTTAGTATCACAACAAACTCAACAATTTTGTGAATTTATAGATAATTTGAATAAAAAATGCTCGGTAATAAAACCAAAACAAAAATACCTATGATTTTAAATGCAAAATGTATGTAGTGTAGGCTTTTTTTTTTTTTAATTCAGCTAACTTGGTTTATATTAGACCCTCCCTCAAGGCCACTGAAATCAGCAACTTTTGACAAAAAAATTGACATTTTTTTCACAAAAATGAGTCTTGAGGGAGGGTTTAGAGTGGTCAGAAAATGCCCGGTATGCTTTAAAACCTACTTTCTATATATTTGCACCAAATTTAATGAAATACGTATTTATATATATATATATATATATATATATATATATATATATATATATATATATATATATATATATATATATACATAGATATAAATGCAGCATCAAACACACACTGATGACATTGTACTGAAAGAAGTAGCTAGAAAAACCTAAAAAGTGGCAGTACCATCCTAAATGTGTTCTCTGTGGAGCAACCTTGTTTTTTAAGGTTCATGTTTTGGAGTTTAAGAGTTGAGAGAGGATTATAACCATAAATGTAGTGGCCCTATTGGCATTGGGAAGGTGATAGGTGATTTTAGGGAGAACATATAATATATATACATTACCAATCATAATTATTCCAACAACATTAACTTTTTTTTTTAATAGTATTTTTTATTTAACTATATTTTATGTTTATTTTTGTTTTTAAATAGTTAAATAAAAAAATTAAATAAATAAAAGTAATTTGATTAAAATACTTTAAAAAAGTCCTAAGAATGATAAAAATGCTTAAGTCGGCAAAACTACATAAAAAATGGACCAATGTGTCGAAGTTTTAAATCTTTGGCTTCAATAGAAGATTGTTTGTCTAAAAAAAATCGTTAAATGTATAATAAAATGTGTATAATCGACTGTAAAACATGGTGGATGTAGTGTTAAGGTGTGGGACTTTTTTGGTTGGAATGTCACAGGTGACATTGTAAAAATACAATGAGAGAAATAAGGGAATAAAGACAAAAGTAGTTTACTTGGACACCTAAAAAGTCATGCTATACCTTTGGAAAGTTGAGTTAACGGAAAGCCATTTATTTTTTTTTGATGAAAATACCATAATCCAAAGGATAATCTTCAGAACATTGTATAAGTTATTTGACTAAGTTCAATAATGATCAAATATTTGATAGAATGATTAAGCTTACCCATTCGTAAGTTTTTTTTCCTATTTTTTATGCAAGGAATTATAAACTAACCTAATGGGACTTTATATTAACTTTTTTATAAACCTAATAAATAGAAAGTTAACATATAATTCAGGTAGATTTTGCTTTCAGTTTTTATCCCAATAAAAAGGAAAACTTTAAAATCTTATATCAAAAAAGTATGATCATTCACGAAAGAAGAAAGATTCCTGAAAATCTTTCAACAAAGTCCATGAAAGTCTTTGTGGCAAGCTAGTCATGAGGTAGGCATTTCAAAATCATCAGTTCAATGCACCATGAAACGTTGTCAGTGGAGAAGCTACTTTCCAAGATTTCCAAGCTCTTAATAATGACGATCCAGACCGAAGAGTACAGTATTGCGAGTGGTACTTGGAATGATGTAACGAAGTTGCACACTTTCCCACAAATATTGTGTGGAGTGATGAAACCACATTCAAATTAAATGGTTCAATTAACACAATTGCACTTACTGGGGACCTGAGAATCCACATGTTATGGTCGACCACCATGTTAATTTACCAGGAATTACAGTGTGATGTGGCTTATCTTCAAGAGGATTAATTGGACTTTTTTTTTTTAACGCTACTGTGACTTGAACCCGGTCCTGTTAACTTGAACTTGCTGCAACAGTCTGTCATACCAAGCATTAGAGAGGACTTTTAACAGGATGAGTTTTATTTCCAGCAAGATGGGGCACCTCCACACTACCATCGTGTGATCATGTGTTTGGCAAGATTTCATCAAGAAAGGATCATGTTAGATCCTTTCTTGATGAAATCTTGCCAAACAAGTGGATTGGATGGAGAGGTTTTGTCAAATACCTTCCACGTTTACCAGACCTCACACCACCAGACTTCTTTTTATAGGGATACCTAAAGGACAAAGTCTACGCACAGGAACCTGCAACAAACTCTATTCAAAGGCATCAAATAAAAAATTGACACTAAAAAAAAAAAGCATCAAACAAAAAGTTTTTTTTTTTTTTTTTTTTTTTTAACATCTTCACTTCCAACAAGGCTGCAAGCAACCACTATAAGAGTTAGAAGTTACTGGAAGAGAAAAGACTAAATCTGTAGAGCAAGATAACGATTGACTGATGACTTAAAAGATTGCAAATTATATGAAACAGGAAAGCAAGATGAAGGAAGCGAATTCCAAAGAACTGATGTTCGAGGAAAAAAACTAGAAGAATAAGAGTTTTTGAAGCACTTAGGAACAGTCACAGAAAAAGGATGAGACTTAATTGAATGGCGAGTAACACGAGAATGAATTTTAGTAGATGGCACAAGGGACGCTAGCTCTTTAGAGCAGTGCCTATTATAGTATTTGTAGAAAAGAGAAAGAGAAGCAACATTACGACGATGTGACAAAGGTTGGAGATTGGCTGCCAGAGCAGGTCCAACTATGTTTACAATTCGTTTTTGCACCTTGTCTAAAAGAGAAAGAGCATCATTAGAAGATCCGCCCCAGATGTGGCAACAGTATTCCATACAGGGACGGATTTGAGATTTATAGAGATAGAGAATAGAATCTGGAGTAAGAAAGTGTCGAGCTCGATAAAGAGATGCAACCTTAGCAGATGCTAATTTTGCAATGGATTTGATATACGGTTTAAAAGAAAGATCAGAAGTAAGAGTTAATCCTAGAAGATGAATGGTAGATGACTCATCTAGTACATTACCATTCATAAATATAGGAAGATCTAAATTATTACGATAACGATTGGCCGAATAAAATTGAGTTTTATCTGAATTAAAGTTCACCAGCCACTGTGAGCCCCATGCTGTAGCAGAAGTGAGATCCTTTTCAAGCTCAGATACCCCCTCCAAGCAATCAGAGAGTGTAGGCTTCTTATCATGACAAGAGTAAATGGTAGTGTCATCAGCGAATAATGCCACCTTAGATGTGAGAATATCTGGAAGATCGTTAATGTAAATTAAAAAGAGTATAGGGCCAAGGATTGAACCTTGAGGAACCCCTGAAGTTACAGGATGTGAAGAAGAGTGTTGTCCATCGAGGACAACTTTTATACTACGATTGGAAAGAAAGGACTCAATAATCTTAAAGACGTTACCAGCTACACCATAAGAAGAAAGCTTATGGAGAAGACCAGCATGCCAAACTTTATCAAAAGCTTTAGAAATGTCAAGTGCGATAGCCTTAACCTCTCCACCACTATCTAATGCACGGTAAAACCTATCGGTTATTACTGTTAGCACATCAGCTGTAGAACGAGAAGACCGAAATCCATATTGATGATCAGAAAGTAAGTTATTTGATTCAAGATGAGAGATTAAGTGTTTGTTGATTAAAGATTCAAAAACCTTGCTTATGACAGGAAGAAGACTAATGGGACGGTAGTTAGATGAATCAGATCGCTCTCCGGAATTTTTGAAAATAGGAATAACAGATGCTGCTTTCCAGCATGATGGAAAACAAGACTCTGATAAGCACTTGTTAAATAGTTTAGAGAGTATGGATGAAAGCTCAGGAGAACACCTCTGCAAGACTACAACAGGAATGTTGTCAGGACCACAAGCTGTTGAAGAGTCTAAGCAGGAAATTACTTTAGATACAGAAGCTGAAGTGATGCGAATGTCAAGCAAGGGATCAACCTGTTTGACAGCTATGTCAGGTAAAACGCAACTAGTGGAATCAAGAGATGATATTGATGAAAAGTTCTTAGCAAACAATTCAGCTTTGTCTTTAGGTGAGGTGACAAAGTCTGAACCATACAAGAGAGAAGGAATAACAGATTTGCCCTTATTATTGATACTGTTAAAGATTCTCCAGAAGTCTCGAGAGCCTAATTTTTGTGATGAGATACGAGATTTAATGACCTGGGAATAGCGAGCTTTGGCGTCAGACAAAACCTTTTTACAATGGTTTCTGGCGATAGTGAACAGATGTCTGTTTTCTGGAGAATTGTTTTGCTGATAGATATGGAAGTAACAGTTTCGATTAGAAATTGCTGCAGCGCAATGTGAGGAAAACCAAGGAGAACAGTGAGGCTTGACCTGGAATCGTCGAGAGGGAATAAAAGATTCCATGCCAGCCTGAATCCACGAAGTTATGTAAGAAGCACATTTGTCAGCAGGAAGACGAAAGATTTCTACCCAAGGGCCATCACGAAGAAAATCACGGAAAGAGTCCCAGTCAGCTTTAAGGTAGTTGTATGTGGTACGATGATAGGGGGATTCTGATGAAGTAGAAGAATTTGATAATAGTTTTAGAGAGTTGACTTAATGATGTAGTATTATAAAGTTTACAAAGGTCTACAAACTGGCAAAATACATTAATTCAAATGAAACATTTTTTCTCTGGTTATAAATATACATTAAACATTAACTCATAAAATGTTTTTATTCAAGCTAAGCTTTTATTAGAGCTTTTAAATTAAAATAAAAAGCTGTAAATATTTTCTTAAATAAACACTTAACATTATGGTATATTTTAATGTAACACCAAACGCAATTTAATATGATTATAAAAGTTTCAACCCCCTCAAATTAAGGGGAGTTTAAATTTTATATGGTCATAATTTTTGAACACTAAAATTTTTTACGATAAAATTTAAAATTTCTTGATGAATATAAGTCTAATTGAAAATAGTACAAAAAATATTTTATCCACTTGTAACTCTCACATTTTGGGCAGGGGGAGGCTAAGATTTTAGGGTTCCCATTCTCCTATCACAGCAATTTTTTTTTAAAGAATCTTTTCATCATACATATAAACGTAAAAAAATTTGAAATATTCTTGTTGTTTATAAGTTGGTTAATTCAAACGTTTAAAAACTTTCCTACGCCATATATATATATATATATATATATATATATATATATATATATATATATATATATATATATATATATATATATATATATATATATATATATATATATATATATATATATATATATATATATATATATATATATATATATATATATATATATATATATATATATATATATATATATATATATATATATGTATATATATATATATATATATATATATATATATATATATATATATATATATATATATATATATATATATATATATATATATATATATATATATATATATATATATAAACAAATAAAAAATGTACAAAGAAATGAAACAAATAAGTGCATTTCTGTTTAAAGTATAATACTGTAATTAAAAAAAAAAAGTAACTAAAAAAATGATAAGCAAAAAATAATCAAATCCATCGTTTATGTATATTTATCATAAATATACATAAATGATGATATAAAAATTTTTACTTTATTATATATATCATTATTATATTTTATATATTTACTTTTTATTATATATTTTTTTAATTTACATCATTTAAATATAACAAAATATAAAAATATAATAAAATATAAAAATAACAATTTATAAAATTTTCAAACAGATTTCAATCATTTGATATTATGTAGTTTATTTTACATTATTTACAAATTATAATAAAGTGAATATAATTTGATTTTACCTATGACATGACAATGTTGAACAAATGTGTCATTCTCACAAGTATTGTGCTCAGCTATATAAGTTAATCCAGCTGGACAAATTTCTATTTCTGTTATTCCCTTCAAGCATTTAATAAAACTATGGCAGTCCCAAGGATTTCTGTAAAGACCATTTGGGCGATATAGACAAAAATTTCCTACAAAATATAATATCTAGTTTTTGAAACAGTCATTCCTAGTCAATAAGAACAGGCCTCCCACCTTTGTATTTACAATATTTATTTTCAATTTTTTTAATTACAGTTGTATAACATTTTGTGCCAAATAAAAAATTTATTTAATGTTAAAAATATAGAGCATAGTTTAATATAATAAAAATTTTTTATTTACTACCAAAAATTAAATTCAATATTATTTGGATTTATTTTTTACAAACTATAATTATTTTTTAACTAATATTTTTACGCTGTTTAACCACATCTAGCTAAAATATAATCTTCAAGACTTAACATAATAGATCTATATAAATTCTAAATTACAATATATTTTTTATTTTAATATTGTTAAATGTTTCCAGTCTCTTTCAATAAATTTGTCTAATTTTATATTTAGGTTAAAAACAATTCAAAAAAAGTAAACCATCTTCAATCAGTCTTAACAGTCAAATTAGGATTATTTTACAACCAATCATTGTAAGCTAAATTCAAGTTTAGTTGTTGATGTGGATAAGCATATTAAATATATACAGCATATTGCAAAGCATGTATAATGTATTTTCTTTTATCATGCAATATATTTCACATTTGTTAAATAAAAAAGTTCAGCTTTTTTATTTAACAAATAAAAAAAGTTTATAAAATTTTTCAAAAATTAAAGACATTTAATGTAATTTTATCTTTTATTACTTATGGTTTTTATCTGTACATTTATTGTTTTTCTATAATTTTTCAAAAATTAAAAAACTACTTAATCAATATAAACTGAATAAGTCAATACAAATTTCATTTTTTTATCAACATTTGCTTCAAAAACATTACAAATAACATCCTTCAATTTAGTTTCAAATGAAAGACACATTTGAAAGTGGGGTGATTTTAAGCTAGGACTCATTTATTCCATAATTTTAAGAAGAATATGAGCTGTTGGAGATGATACAAGAATGGGAGGTAAAAGCAAATATTTGCATACAAGCTAGTTTTATGATTATGTTAACATTGGAAGAATGGGAGGCCTGTAAAAGTAAATAATTTTAAATAAACTAATTTTATGATTATGCTATTTTAAAATAGTGTTTTTCATAGCTAAGCTAATTATGTTAATTATTTCATAGCTAAGCTAATTATGCCTGTTTATACAACAATACCGAAAAACTTTTAATGTGTTTTTTTTTTTTTTTTGTCTACCTTTATTTGTGTTTGATGGTTTATCACAAATTTTCAGTAAAGGATTATAAATGTCACTATTATTGCATTGAACAACTGCTTTGCTGCCATTGATGCAGACCAAGAAAGCAAAGCAATCTCGCAAACAGTGTCTACCATCCGTTAAACCAAAACAAGATTCTTCTGAATATTTTTCATATATCAAGTTGTTGGTTTTATTACCTAAAAATTAAGCATATGTAGCTGAGTGTGGGTACATTGCCCTAGAGATAAAGTAAAAATGAATATAATTTAGGTATGTGATATGACAAAATAATTGAGACAAATTATAATGTAGATGACAATAAAAAGACAATATAAGTAAGACGAATGACAATGGCAATTGAAAAAAATATAAAGTGAGACAAATCACAACAAAAGCTAAAATAAACATTAAAAAGTGAAATTTATATGGTCTGATGATGCTCTTTGATATTCAACTTTTAATAACCTTGGATAAAATGTTCAAATTCTTTAATTTTTAGATTCTATGTTAAAACTACAGAGTAAACAAACAGAGGTAGTTTGTGTTGGTTTGACAAAACAAAAAAGTAACAACAATCACTTTATGAGCACATATAAACTTTTTAAACAGACAATATTAATAAAAACAACATTGATAAATGAGTTTGATTTAACAGACAAAAAAAACAATTACCCACTAGCTAATTATAATTCTAAATTGTAATGCATAAAGGTATTTGTTCTAGAGCTAATAACTAATTGTTTTATTATAGTAACTAATTGTAATTCAAATTCATTTTTTCAAATTTCATTTTCAACTTAATATAATAAACTAATAAATTAAATTATCTTCATTTCTTAAAAAACTTGTGTTTTTATTGCATATATATATATATATATATATATATATATATATATATATATATATATATATATATATATATATATATATATATATATATATATATATATATATATATATATATATATATATATATATATATATATATAGCTAGATAGATAGATAGATAAACACCTATACTTTTTACTGCAAAGAGCTTACTAGAGCTAATAACTAATTGTTTTATTATAGTAACTAATTGTAATTCAAATTCATTTTTTCAAATTTCATTTTCAACTTAATATAATAAACTAATAAATTAAATTATCTTCATTTCTTAAAAAACCTGTGTTTTTATTGCATATATATATATATATATATATATATATATATATATATATATATATATATATATATATATATAGCTAGATAGATAGATAGATAAACACCTATACTTTTTACTGCAAATTTGAATACACAGTATGCCTCACAAAAAACATCCTACTAAAATAGGTATAGAAAAGAGATCTAATACATGTATAAACTAAAACTTAAGGATTTAGTAGGTAGTATCAATATGCAAAGGAGATCTTTTTACAACATTATAAAATTTACTTGTGAAATTGTACAGTTAAACTCAAATAATTCAAACTCACATAATTCAAAAAATCATTTAAATCAAAAAAATTCATTGATCAGGAATTACTAGTGAAAAGTTAGTTTTTATCTTCCTATATTTTACTATAGTAAAGTTGAATCCCAATATTTGAATGCTTCAATATATTTGAGTCTTTTGTTTGAGGTCATTTTATTTTTGGCAGACAAAACTAAATGCCCACAAAAAAATATATAAAAATTACTTTAAAAGTAAAGTAAAATGAATTAAAAAGAAACAATAAAAAGCCATAACAAATAAAAATGTTGCAAACCAATTAAGCACTTCTGATAGTCCACATGCTACTTAGAAAAGGTCACATGCTACTTAGAAAAGGTCACATGCTACTTAGAAGAAAAGAAAAAAAAAGATCTATGATGCTTTTTAAAATTAGACTTTAGACTTTAGAGTCATCTTTTTTTAGACATTTTATTACTTCAAAGGAGGTCTCTGAAGAGTGTGGAAAAATTACCAAGAACAAGATTTCACGATAAAAAGAAACAACTTACAATAACTAACTAAAAGCTACAAAACTAAAAAGATACAAACTAAAAGATACAAAAGATTTCATAATTAAAGATTTAAACAATGCATAATTTTCAATGGTATCCACAAAGCATTTCCATCATAATCTTTTCACTTTTGAGGTAAACAGTGTTCAGGTGAAAATTCCAGGAGTAAAAACTAATAATTTACAATTTTTAGCACCAAATTTGCCTCCTCTACTTAGCCTAAATCTACCTTCTCTACTCAGGTGGTTATCAGGTACATTTGCTTAAGAAATGTGCTATGGATGACCATGATGACCTGCTTGAAAAGATGATATATAATAGTGGGGACAATAATGATGCAGAAGAGTTAAAGTTTGACCTAAAGCAACTTTGCAGACCAGACTTGTTGATTTTAATAGAGACCAACAAATCTGAACCATTGTTAAATAGCTAATATCTATCACAACCAGATATTAGCAGTGACAAGGATGAGATTCCTGAATCCATATCACCCATATCATATTATAACTTGTGCAACATCCTACATAGTGAAAAACATTCCTTTCTTAGATTTTGTTTTTTTACAATTTGGCCAATAAAACCTGAACTCCTATAATTTGAAAACTCACACAATTCAAAAATTTTTTGAAATGCCTAAAGAACTAGAATTATATGAGTTCAACTGTATTGTTCATAAAAGTGTATTATTTATTATTATAAACATTTTTTTGTATTATGCATCAATGCAGATATTTAAAATTTGAATTCAACAATTTCTTAATATATTCAACCTACACAATTTGTGAAGCTTTGTATATAAATTTTTGTGATTGTAGTTAAGATGGTTGCAGTTACGAGTGTTCCACTTTTGCTTTTGCATATTTTAAGCAAAATTTTTAAAGTTTTACTTTTTTATGTAAGTAAAACTTAAAAAACATAAAAAGTGAACATACAAAAATTAAAAGATATTACTTACTCTCCTTAATATTGCTTACAGTAGGAAATTGAATTTTAGATATTGAATGACTATTTACAGTATTTTTAGTATTATTGACAGCAGAGTTACCTAGGATAAAAAATAATAAGAGCTAATAAAAATAAAAATTCAAAAAACATTAAAATATGACAACAAAATTTATAAAAATATATCAAAATCTTGGATAAAAGAAATAATTGCAAAGTTTGAAAATTTAGAATTACAATATAAATATAAATTGATACCTAAAATGTAACAGTAGCGAGAGTAAGTTGCATTATTACATGAGTTTGAAGAAGCATCATATCGTAAACCATCTTCACACTGCTCTTCATGTGTCCACCCTTTAATACATTGAATAAACTTTGCACAGTCCCATGGATTACGGTACGGACCATCAGGACGATCAAAACAAAAATTGTCTTAAAACAACAATGAATACATTACTGAAAAAAAATTTTCTGTTGTCACTTAAACATTCAGATGAAAACTGAGTTTCAGAGAAATAGAGTGAAGCATCAATGTGTACAAGTACATGAAACTTATAACAGTTCAAACTAATACTTTTGCACAGAACACAGATGTGTTCTTGCACAGAACACAGATGTGTTCTTGCACAGAACACAGATGTGTTCTTGCACAGAACACAGATGTGTTTTTGCACAGAACACAGATGTGTTCTTGCACAGAACACAGATGTGTTTTTGCACAGAACACAGATGTGTTTTTGCACAGAACACAGATGTGTTCTTGCACAGAACACAGATGTTTTCTTGCACAGAACACAGATGTGTTCTTGCACAGAACACAGATGTGTTCTTGCACAGAACACAGATGTGTTTTTGCACAGAACACAGATGTGTTCTTGCACAGAACACAGATGTGTTTTTGCACAGAACACAGATGTGTTTTTGCACAGAACACAGATGTGTTCTTGCACAGAACACAGATGTGTTCTTGCACAGAACACAGATGTGTTTTTCAATCAGAGCAAAGATAAAACAACAAATCAAAATCAAAAGATTTTCAACAAAAGATCAAAATTATAAATGAATCATATTGAATTTTATTTTAAAACCTAATAATTTTTTTTTGCAAACAGAAAAAAATTAAAATTCACCTTTTGTTACTTGATAACTTGGTACACATTGCTTAACTCCATTATGATATAATTCATTAGGAGGACATGTCATTAGAATTTTTGATCCATTGTTACAAACCATAAAAGCGAAGCAGTCTCTGACACAATGTCTACCATCTTCAAGATTTTTGCAAGTCTCTTCTTGATTTGAGTAATCAGCAACTGAATAAATTTTTAGAAAAATGTGTATAAAGATATGTAAATAAAAGAAACCTTTTCACAACAATGATTTTCAATTTAAACCCGCCATTTTGAAACTTTTTAATTTTAAAATTTGTTAGTTTAAAAATTTTAATAGAAAATTTCTGTGTAAATTATTTTTTTTTTACAATATAATAATTAAAAAATCATAAAAACTATACTTTTTTATTTATCTAATCTCCTATGTTTAATTTTCTTGGCACCATAGGTAAAATATATACTTTTTATAAAAATCTCTATGGTTTAAAACAATTTAAAATCAATGTTAAGAATAATTAAAAATTTCAACAATGAAAAAAAATCATTCTCTTGTTGACTTTAAAATGTTTTAATCAATAGATGTAAGTCCTTGAGTTCAAAATGATAGGTTCAATTATACAAATGATTTTTTTGTTACTTAGATTGCAATATTTTTTTTTTTTAAAGTTTGTCTTTATTTTAAATGATGCTATTTATTCTAATTTATTTTATTTATGCTAATTATTCTATTATGTTTGTGCATTTTGTTGACAAAAACACTTTAACTTGAAAACTGAAAGAACTATTAAAGAAGTTTTTCTGGTATCCAATAAATATTACAATACATGAGTACTCAAATTTTAAAAGCAAAAGATACAAGTTTTGCCAGTAATGTTAAATTCGTCCACATTACATTTAAATAACAAAGTAAAATCAGATATATTTTAAATTACTATAATCAGGTATTTATGATACTATTTATTTATAGAAAATTGGTGTTTTTATAAGAACTTGTATAAAAAACATTGAAGTGTGCAATATTTTACATCGAAGTACACAAAAAAAAAATTATTATTTATTTACTTGATTTAATATTGCAGAAAATTATGACTTGAAAACATAAAAAAAAAAAAAGTGAACAAAAACATATCTTAGCCAATGGTACAAAGATTACAAATCAAATTACCAAATAAATTTAAACTAATAAGAAAAAGATTTAAAATCAAGTTGCAGAGCATATATAAGAAAAGAGATGTTAATAAAAAAATTTTATAAATCTTTATAAACTATATTGAACATAGCTATTTATAATAACAATACAATTGTATGCAACCCTAAATTCACAAAAATTGACTTTCTCAAAAACCAAATTTGTTAATAACTGGTGATATTGATTCAAAAGCTTAATGAGAGGTACCTGGTTAAATAGTCCATAAGGTTTTTAGCTTCTCAGACTATAACAGAGAAAGTTAAATAATCCACAAGATGCTTGTAATCTTGGAGGCTAAACTCAATTTCAAAAATAAATTTCATTTAGGTCTGCGCTTCAAAGTACAGCCAAAACTTTTTAAAACAAGAAGAGACACCAGAAGTATACAAAAATAAGCAAAAACATTTCACATTACTTCTTAAAGTTTGAGTTAAGGTTCTTTTTTGATACCTTGGTCTTAACTCGAGTTATTGCCTTATTAATATGTTTAATACATATTTTGTTTGTAGTGCCGGTATAACAGACACAATAATTGGAAAATATTTTTGTCCATATTATGATTGCATCATCTTTCTTACAGTGTTGCCAACACTGGTGTTAATACTAAAGCAAATAACACTGTTGATTGCTGTAGCTAAAGCAATAACTGCTACAGCAACCCACAGTGTTAGTTGCTAAAGTATCAACACACAGCAAAAACTTGGTCTGGAGTGTTGAAATATTCTAAATGGTTTAGAATCACTAAGGCTTGATCAGGTACTTTAACTATATCACTTTGAACAATTCCTAATAGATCATTCTTTTACCAAAATTTAGGACTTGTAACAGTCACAGGAACTCTATTTCTTGTAACTGTTTTTCTTATTTTTTTTGTAAACAAATAACTAGTTGCTCATCAAAGTAAAGGAAAAGATTTTTTTGATCTCATTTTTAATCAATTTAACTTGATATAAATCTTAGCTTGACTAAGACCTTAGTTAAAGATCTTGATATAACTCTTAGCTTGACTAAGAGTTATATCAAGATCAATTGATTAAAAATAAAATCAAAAAAATCTTGTCCTTTACTTATTATCTGAGAAAATTTTAAATAAACTAAATTTTTTGGCACAAATATTATTGTAATATCATATAGCAACACCAAAAAAAAAAAATCCAATTTGGTAGTTCTTGGGGATAATAAGTTATTGACATTTTTCCATTATGTTTAATTTTACTTTATGTTTTAATGTTAAAAAATAGGTGTATGCTAATACCAAATTAAAGATGATTTTGACTTTAAATTTTGACAAATTTAAAGCTTGAAGTTATAAATTAAAATTTAAAATATATAATCTGGTCTGTAAGTTAAATTTAAAATATCAATGCAAAATTGTTGAAAAATTGGAGGTATGGTTTGTGGAATGTTTAAAAATTAAACAATTTGATTATTTTAAGGACATTTCTTGTTGTACACAAAATTATAATAAGTTATAAAAAAATAAAAACAGTAGCAAACTAATTTTAAGTGACATTTAAATGATATTATCTTTACTATTAAAATATTCTTTTTTCTTTTCTTTATTACTACAATTATCATTGGTATTTTTTGTTTGTTTGTTTTTTTCTTATTTTAATTATTATAACCTGCAAATTATGGTTTCTACATATTTATTTTTAATGTATATTCTATGTGCTTTAATCTATGTGTTTATGTTCCGTGTATTTCAATGTATATGTTTGTGCATATTGTTAATTATTATTATAAATAATTTTACGCTTATAACTACCATTGTTATATTTATTATATTTTTTTTTAATTGTAATTATTGTAAACATACTTAGCATTGCTATAACTAAAATTTGTATTAATTTTGTTATCTTATATTATTATTATTTTTATTATTGTTATTATGGTTATTATTACTATTATTATTTTAGTATTACCTGATATTATTATTCATGTACTGTAATATGTTATATATTTTGTCAAATTTATAAATTATAAATATAACTGAAAAACGTGACGACCTACAAATATTCATTATAATATAATGAATAATTGATTGATTATTGCTATTATTGTTATTATTATTATTGCTATTGATATTATTGTTAATACTATTGTAAAAATGATTTACGGAAAATAAGTAGCTTGCTGTTGTTGTTTATTTGTACAGACCGTCATCAGATGTTAAATGTAAACTGATGTTAAATGTAAACAGATGTTAAATGTAAAAATGTAACATCTGATGACGTTTTCATTTAACATCTGATCTATATTTATTGACGTTTACATTTAACATCTGATCTATATTTATTGACGTTGTCTTTGTAATGGCTTCGTTATGGTTTTTAATATTTTGTAATGGCATTACAAAATATTAAAAACCATAAAGAAGCCATTCAAAGACAACGTCAATAAATATACTTTTGTTTATTTGATTTTCTTAAATAGAGTGGTCTCCAACTATTTCAGGGGCGGAACTAGCATTTTTTGGTCTTTGAGAACATAAAACTTGTTACCCCTCAGTTTGAGGGCGTTACAGATTTTTTGGTCAAAATTTTTGATTGCTAAAAAATTATACTCTGAAACTTAAAATTTATTGATGAATATCTTGTTAAGAATAGTACGAAAAATGTTTTATCAACTTGTTGCTCTAACGTTGGGGCAGGGGCGGCAAAAATTTTGGGCTCAAATCATTGAATTTTTTGAAAATCATCCTTTTTTGACATAAGTGACATGGAGCAAACTACAAACATATTTTGACATGGAGAAAACTACAAACAAATTAAATGTTTGGAGTTTTCTCCATGTCTAGAAGTTAGCTATCTTAAAGACCAGAAATAGCTAGATCCACCCCTGTTGATTGTTTCAAACAAACCGATTGCTTCAAATAATTAAAAGCAATTTTTACCCCGTTATCCATATTCAGTAGAAAGAGGAATTGTTTAACCTCCTGAAATGTTTGCGCATAATTAATTTCAAGCAACAGTTTTCATTTATAAATAACATTTTTGGGTGCAGTCAGTTTTTTTTTGCAATGTTTAGTTGTTTCAGAAACATGCTAATTACCAGTCATGCTATTAGTTTGGTATTCTATGCTTCTTTTTAAAATTCTATTTTTCTTTTCTAAATTTAAATTCCCCCACGCAAACGTGTAATCTTCTACACTCCAGGGTTTCTATTTAATATTAACTTAGATTTGTTTTTACAGAAAATTGTTTTTAAATTAGGTGGTGTTGTAAAAATAACTTTGACTTGATATGTTTTTAGTGCTTTGCGTAGTTTTGATGCAAGTGTTGGTAGCCAAGATTTTTCGCAACGTTATTGTTTGTTGTATAATAAAAATCCATTTTAATTCAATAATAAAAAATCACACTCGTTGTCATTTGGTTTTATTTTGATACTGAGTGGAGATGTAGTAAATTGGGAACAAGCAGAAGGATTTGGATCAAAAGCTATTTTAAAAGATCCAGAAGCCATATAAATTGGTATGATAATTGAAGACAACACATAGTAGACAGTGGTACCCGCCCACACTGTATTGGTTGGCTCAAATACTCCACCTTCAAAGATATTTTAAACAATTGTAGTGCATATTGTGTTTGATGAATATAAATTTAATCAAATAAAAATGCTGAACATACAAAAAGTTATGCCAATAACCAATACCCTGATATAGAGGTTTAAAAAGTTAGTAATGTTTAGGTTTCTAATGAAAAATTTACGCCAAACAAAAAAAGCAAAAGCCACTTTATCAAGCTGCTTTAGCAATGCTTAAGAAATGAAGAGAATACTCTTCTCAATTGTCCAGGCAATGTTGAAGCATCAATTTTTTCAACAGCAATAAAATTTGTTTTATTAAATTCTTGTTCACTATTGACAAAAAAAAGATATGCAATATTATGTTGTACGTTGCATAAAGGATGGAGCTTTAAATCTAACGGTGAACAATATAAAAACCGAAATTTTATTTGTTAGTTCTATGAATGAAGACAAGATCCGCTCCATATGGAAAAAGAAAAAAATC